AGAACCCAGCCGAAGTCTATACGGAACGAGGCTACGTCTTCAATAGAACAAAAACAAATCCCCAAATCGGAAGGAGATCATGATGCCATCCTCAGAGCCATCTCCTCAGGTGATCTCCATCTCCTCCAGGAGCTTATCAAAGGTTTGGATGTCAATAGTTCTCGCTCGTCCTCTGACACCCTGCTACATCTCGCTGCTGAATATGGCAAGGAGGCCGTTGTGTACTTTCTGCTCAGACAGGGGGCGAAACTGAACTTAAAGGACACGAAGGGCCGTACTGCCCTGCACAGAGCTTCAGAACGGGGCCATACTGATGTTGCTCTGGCCCTTGTGAAGGCCGGGGCCGACCTCCATGCTACCGACCACACGTCAAAGACACCTTTGCATCTGGCTGCTCAAAATCAACATGAGAGTACGGTCAAAGCTCTAGTGCTCGAAGAGAAGAAGAGCCTCAAGAATCAGACAACTGTTCTGCACATGGCGGCCATTGAGGATGAGGCAAAACTGGCAGAGGTTCTTCTGAGAAACGGCGCTTTAGTAGATACCCGAGATGGTCAAAGGAAGACGGCTCTCTATCACGCCGTCCGCCACGGAAACGAGAAAGCCGCCGCTGTGCTGTTAAAGGCCGGAGCCCAAGTGGACTCTGTGATCGTGGATGCTGCCTTTGAGCTGAACAGAAAGTCTCTGTTGTCTCTGTTTTTGCGGTATGTCCAGATGTCCATGTCTCAGAATGAGATGAACTCGGCTCTTTTTAAAGCGGTACGGAGGAACTTGGACGGGGTCGTGGCTGCGCTCATTGATCATGGTGCAGATGTCAATAGTTTCAATGAGCTTGGATACACACCTGTGCTTCTAGCCGCGGAGCTGGGGAATGTGGAGGCCTTCAAAGTGCTGGTGTCAAAAAAGGCCAGGCTGGATGAGAGACTGCCAAACCAGATCTCTGCTCTTCACCTGGCCATCCAAAGTGGCAGTATGCAAATAGCACAGGTAAATGGCTTAGCCTTTAAATAAAATTTTAATTCATTTTATTAAACAAATATACACACACACACACATACATACACATACACACATATATATATATAGCTTCATCAGGGGTTTTCAACCTGGAGTCCACAAGGGGATGCCATCGAGAGGACAAAAAAACCCCGTATTTTTAGAGCTGTCAAAGTCAAATACTTATTAACAAAATATTTGAATGCAATATTGATAATCTTAAATGTTTTATATTAATTTTATATGTCATTTAATTCTGCTTTTTAAAGACTGAAATCAAGGAACTAATTATGATCAGCGCTAGTAATTTACATGTGATCTGGATTATGTAAATGGATTAAAACAATTAAAGGTGAACTATGCAGGTTTTTTTACCTCAACCGAACAGCTTCGGAGTCATTGGAATGGTTATATTACTCTTTTCGGGTTGAATGGTGGTTGTTTCGCACCCCCCTAATCGCATGTGAGCGGAAAAAACACATTTGCAACTTTGAGCCGGCGGGCCGCCGGCCGCAGCATCAGGAAGTGTCGCGTGATATCAGGTCTCGCGATGTAACGAATTGCTTTACGGCAAAAAAGATCTGATAAAATAAGCATCAAACAGAAATAACCCGGCGCCGTATACCTGTGGTGTTCGAGGCGCACATACAATACAGACTGCCGACAGTTAAACAGGGCGCGCGCAGCTCTTAAAGGGGCCACACCTTATTTCAACTCGTTACAGCGTCCATCCTACTGAACAGGTACCGGTGTACAGGGGGAGGGGATCCGGCCGTGAGTGCGAGCCATCTCTGCGTGAGTGCTATTTACGACAGTATAAGTACTCCACAGCGACTCTAGGGGTCGCTGTTTGACAAAAACGGAATTCCTGCATAGTGCACCTTTAAGTATTTGTAATTAGATTAGATTACATTTTAAAATACTCGTAATTGGACTACAGTTACTTTTTAATTGATTACTTGATTACATGTAATGCTCACAATGGAAGTAAATTACTCATTGATTCCACTTCATTGTTATATTCTAAATTTGCCTTTCTATAAAAGTCTACAGCTGATATAGTCTACGTTCAGAAGGTCTTCCAGGTTTGAATTGCACACACAGACCATTAATGCCAGTAGGCTACTGGCAACGCTTAAGTTTAGGGTCCAATTCTCACTATTAACTTGTTGCTTATTAGCTTGCATAGGATATTGGCTGTTTATTAGTACTTATTAAGCAGCACATAATAATGCCTTATTTTGCATGACCATATTCTACATCCCTAAATCCTGATGATACCTAATTTATGACCAAAATGTGATAGAAAAAAAAGAAGTTTTTCAGAGACTGTTTTGTGGTTTTAAAAAGCACGCTCTGTGTTCGGTAAATGTAGACCGTCCACTCAAATCAATGTGATGAACAAGTTGGGTCAAAAGTAACCTAAAAAGTCCGAATATATGACCTAAAATTTGTAATCTATACCTTACTAACTTTGTTTTTGTCATGTAATTTGGAATCAGTCACTGACTAATCTAGCACCAATTATGATCATTTTATTCTACTGACAGCCCTAGTTTTAAAAGAAGAAATAAATCATTAAATCATTAAATAACATCTCTAAATCCTCGATTTTAAATCATAAACAAGTAGTCTGAGTATTTAAATAAATACATCAATAAATAATTTATTTCTTTTTTAGACAATTACACACACACACTTTTTTGGGTCCCTTGCAAGGGGACCATTATATCTGGAGTCCTGGACATCAAAATTTGAAAAACCCTGAAGTAGAGAATTTGACTAATGAAATGGTCCTTAAAGGGATAGTTCACCCAAAAATGAAAATGCTGTCATCACTTACTTACCCATATGTTGTTCCAAACCTGTATGAGTTTCTTTCTTCTGTTGAACATAAAAGAATGTTGGTAACCAGACAGTTGATGGTAGTCATTGACTTCCATTGTAGGAAAAAAAAACATGGAGGTCAATGGCTAACATCAACTGTCTGGTTACCAACATTCTTTAAAACAAACAAAAAAAATCTTCTTTTGTGTTCGACAGAAAAAAGAAACTCAAAGGTTTGGAACAACTTGGAAATCCGAAATTTAATAATCTACAGCAATAATCAAAGCTGCTCTTTGGGTCACTAAAGTACATTATAAGATATTTATTTTGATAATAAATCTGAACTCTTCTGTTCTAATCCAGATATTGTTGGATAAGGGCACAGACCCCAACATCAGTGGCCCCAAAGATCAGACCCCTCTCCATCTAAGTGCATCACATAACCAGCCAGCGTTGATGGCGCTGTTGTTGCGTGTGGGGGCTCAGATTAACTCTATCACCCAGGACGGACTCACTCCCCTGCACCTCGCGAGCCAGAGCGGTCACACTGAAGCGGTCGCCCAGCTGCTGGAGGCCAAGGCTGACCTCTATGTCAAAGACAAACAGGGGAGAACAGCCCTGCATTGGGCAGCAGCACACGGGGAGGCGGGCGTCATAGAGCTACTGCTCGCTGCTGGGGCCGATCCCAACGCCTCTGAAAAAGAGAAAAAGACCCCACTGCACCTGGCTGCCATGCAGGGACACACCAAGGCCGTTTCGGCGCTGCTGGCCGGTAAAGCCAAAGTCGGAGCTAAGGACATGGATGGCTGCTCTCCACTGCATTACGCAGCTCGAAGCGGAAAGGAAAGAGCAGCCGGCGTTCTTCTCGCATCTGGTAAGAGCATGAACGTGGATGATAGGAACGTGTGGAGAAGGACTCCTCTGCATTTAGCGGCAGAACATGGCCATGAGCCGCTGGTGGGCCTTCTGCTGAAGAACGGTGCCAAGATCAACTCCCTGGATAACAATAAAGACACACCACTGCACTGCGCTTGCCGTGACGGGCATGTGGAAACAGTACAGAGACTAATAAACTGGACAAATGGAGAACGAGCCAACCTTCAGGCAACTAATAAAGTGAAGAAAACGGCCCTGCAGGTGGCAGTGTTAGAGGACACACCGGCTCACCAGAACATAACTACCCTGCTAAAGAAGAAGATGTTCCTTGTGAAATAATAATAATAATAATTAGAAGAAGAAAACTGTATCATCATAAAATATGTTTGGCAGAAATGTTTGCTAAGCTGTATTATGAATCAGTGACTGTCACCCCAACCAGCTAGCAGCTTTCACTCTTTTTGCAATCATTTTGTATAATTTTACAAACATTACATTTAGAACAAGAATTTTTATTTGATTTTGTCTATTGGGAGTTGATTGGTTGTGGTTTGCTATTGCTGTGATGTCATATGAGTGACAGGTTGTCCCACTCTCATGTCAGTAAACACGTCATCAGAGAAAAGAAGAGATCCAAGAGGGAGGGAGTTATTTTGATTAAAGATTACGAGGGCAAGTGCGTTTAAAAAAATAATAATGTGCTTGGATAAATATTTTTTTTAATTTATACTGCAAATTCCATAAAAACAAGAAGTGTCCATTTTGATTTCATGATGACTTTAATGTTGCATGATAAAGCAATCCACAGTTTCATCAATAGGTGTCACTCAAATCATGCATTTGGGAACCTTCACATGTAAAAACACCTACAGTAGACTATATGGTAAAAAAAAGCGATTTTTTTTAGGTTGTATAACGCACAATACTGTGGAAAAGCTTATGTAAATATGGGCTAGTTGTCACACTTTTCACTCTAATGTATATTTCTCAGGGTATATCTATTTTTCAAAGTCAATTTCTGTAACTAATTAAAAGATTAAAATCTTGCCAACAAAAAGCTACTGAACATTAATCATGACATTAATCCCATTAATAATGCCTAGAAAAAAAGAATCCACAAAACTTTAAGATGGTTTTGTTGAAAGACCATCCAAACGCCACTTTCAGAGAAAACACACGTTTGTCTATTTGGACGTTTGACTCAAAAGCTTACAGTTACTCAAACGGTTCTTGTGACGACAACAACTGATGTAAACATAATACTTTTTACATTATGTGGGATTAAAGGATTGGCGGAGTTTGAAACCAAGGTCACAAGTCATGTGACCGTATGTCCACTCTTGTCACGTGACTCCGTGTTGACGGAAATGCTGCAGGAATGGCAAGAAACGAAGAGAAGCAGTTTGGAAGACTGAATCGACTGTGGCTCCAGAAAGAGAGAGAAGGTATGAGACGCGTTCATGGTTTATTTAACCATGTAAATTCACCCTAATGTGAAACGACGGAAAATGCCATCGCTATAAATGTTCGTGTTGCTTCTGTGTTCTCACATTCGTTAGCACATTGTCAGATCTGTGTTTTTATTTCCAGAGGGTCGCATTAAAGATGTCAACGTGTCACGGCCAAAGCTTGTGAGAAATTTATTTCGTTGTAATGCATCTCTTATAATTTCAATGAGTAGCAATGCATAAATAACAACCTTACCTTTTTGATGGACCTTTTGTCATGCAGGCAACGTTAAATTCAGTGGCAGCAGTGACGAAGTGGATGCCGAGCATTAAGAAGGAGATAGAGTACTATCTGCAGGTACTGATCATACTGTCAACACGTGAAAAGCTTTTTTTACAGTCTATGGTGAAAAGTAGCAAGATAGTACTACCATGATACCATCTATCGGCGAATAATACCTTATATCGGACACTAACTAACACACACACACACACACACACACACACACACACACACGCCACTTTATTAGGTTCCTCTGTTCAACTGCTTGTTAACGAAAATGTCTCATCAGCCAATCACATGGCAGAAACTCAATGCATTTATGGTCATGGTGATCAGAATGGGAAAGAAAGGTGATTTTAGTGACTTGGTTGTCCGAGTATTGCACAATCTGCTGATCTACTGGGATTTTCACACACAACCATCTCTAGGGTTTACAGAGAATGGTCCGTAAAAGAGAAACTATCCAGTGAGCAGCAGTTCTGTGGGTGAAAATGCCTTGTTGAAGCCAGAGGTCAGAGGAGAATGGTTACAACCAAGGTCTGCAGAAGAGCATCTCTGAACACACAACAGATTGTATAGAACTATGTCTATGAACTATGCCTTCATGGCATAGGTTCAACAAGGTGCTGGAAACATTCATTACTGCATCACACTGATTTGACCATGTCTACATGCCTAAATGCAGTGAGTTGCTGCCATGTGATTGGCTGATTAGATTTTTGCATTAAAGCAATTGAACAGGTGTACCTAATAAAGTGGTCGTTTATATATATATATATATATATATATATATATATATATATATATATATATATATATATATAAAATTAAATTGTGTAGCTTTATTTCAGAGGTAGCATTGCAACTCTCAACAACTGTAACATCGTGTACAGAATGTGCTTTACATTAATAACAACAATTAAATAATGATCAATTATCCATGAATAATTATTAATGAAATATAAATTTGATTGTAGATACTATTATCAGAATTAGATTTAGATTTATTCCCAAATGTCAAGTAAGTATGTGTACACACACAAGGAATTTGGATACAGCTTTTCTCTGGGCTTTGGTCTTTATGCCTGGTCTCTCCTCTTTCCCTGAGGGCTCAACTATTTCCCTCTGCTCTAATGTCTCAGGACAGTGTCAGTGGACTCATATTCATCTTCTAGTCTTGTGTCTTTTCCTTATTTGCTGTCTCGGGGTCAAGTCACCTTTATTTATATAGCGCTTTTTACAATACAGATTGTATCAAAGCAGCTTCACAGTGATAACATGAAAATAATATAACAAAGTTTGTTTCTAAAAGAAAATTGTGTCAACGTCCACCGTAAGTAAGGCAGATCAATAATATTATTGAATATTAAATGTCCCCACTAAGCAAGCCAAAAGCCAAGGCAACAGTGGCAACATGACTTCTTGGGGGTTAGATGCCCACTTTGAGATAAGAGCCCTTTTCTTTCCTGTCACTTTAGAAAACATCCTGTAACAAACTGTTCAAGATTGATTGATCTAGATCTAGATAGATTGATTTGTAATTGAGCAGTACCAGTAAAAAAATGTAACATGCTTGATGAGTTTTGATAATAAACTTCTTATCAAGGTTAATATAAATCATATCATTTGAGCTGGGCTGACTCACTGACCTGCCTGCGTTCACATTGTGCAAGATGAGAGGGAGACGGACTGACAACCTCAGTTTTTGATACTGATCTTGCTCAGGAAGCAATTTTTGCGTTTAAAAGACATCTAATAGCCGTCCAAACACAGCCCTGACGTCTAGGCTAAAACAAGATCAAATTTGGGCTGTCAGTGAACATCTAATAGATGTCTAACCATAGAAAATGTCAAAGAAATGATAAAAACACCTTGTAATCTCTGTTTACGTTGCTTACATGATGGAATATCATACATCTTGCAAGTTATTTTGGCAAAAACGACCAAATTCAAGGTTACTCTGGCTAGAAGTGGGTTACTACTAATAGCCGGACTATATCGTGTCTATAGTTAACCAAGATGCTGAAATGATTGCTATTGCTTGCTGGGTGCACAAACTTTGCAATGTCATGACTCATGTACAAACCAAAGAGATTAAAGATATGGTATGTTTGATCACAAGTGTTTCACATTTGGTTTAGAAAGAATATGATCCTTGATTTGTTGATAACTAAAAACAGTTGCGATCTGAAAAGCCTGGAAGTCAACATCTTTGCTCTTGTATTTTGCAGCAGTCGCAGTTATCTCACTACCCAGAGAGGAAGATAGACGAGTTCCGTCTCCATATTGAAGAACTCGAGAGAGAATACAAGCGCTACCTGAAGAAACTGCGCTCCATAGACCCTTCCTGCAAACACAAGCCTTGGGAACCTCGAGCATACACCAAGAGGAGGCAGGAGCCAAGCCATCAACACACCTGTCAGTTCATGCTTTCAAATTACTAGTCTTGTGAAACAGTTATCTTATTTCAACATTCAAACTTAATGGGTTTTTTACTGATCAGATAGCTATCTGATTTCATCCGGTTTCATTTACACTTGGCCTCTTTTGTCTCCACAAAACGAATATAAATTTGATCTTTAATTCCCACGCTATTTGAAAATGACACAGCCTTCAGGATGTGACGGTGAATGTTGAATTTAATTTGTGGCAGTTTGCGCATCTGCTTGCTGAAGAAAGATGGATTGGCCCCATTTTTTTAAGGAACTAGTAGAAATCGATTTTTGTGGTAATCAGCAATATATCAATCTATATATTTATCAACACAAATATTGTGGATTTGGCCTAATGTGTGTACCGAAACTGTAATATTCCATTAAAAACAGTCTTCTTTGCAGCCACCATTTTGTTTAAGATATTTAGAACTACTCAGATATTTTCTTTTTATAAAAATAAACATTTACTAAAGTTTAGTCTAAACTGCATTTTTAGCATTAATTTTACTAATTTGGGGTATTTTATCTTTAGTTTGACATATTCTGTGTAATAAATCAGCATGCACAAACAAAGACGTGCACAAAAATAACAATGCACCAAGATAAATAAAGTAATATGCATCAAGAAAACTGATACTAATGTTACATTTAGGGTCAACGGAGTTTATTCATATTATTGGCTTCATGTACATGAACAAGAACTTGCTAATATTCTGATTATGTATACACAATCATCTGATTGCCATACAGATTAAGCTAATATGGTTGATAGAAATCTGAATGAGACAGCTGGCATATGCTTGTATTAATCAGACGTAATTAAACAGAGGGCATTCTGGGTGGTAACAGTCATAGACAGTTGTGAAAAATGTAGCTATGAAAAGTATGGTAAAGGTGAGTTTTTTAGCAGTAGGTATTTAAATAAATATAATGACTTGCATTTTGCTATTTGTAAAAATCTTTCGTGCTGTTGAAAGAACTAAACTGATAAAGAGTGAATTAAATGACTAAAATTGATCATAATAAAGAGCATCTCCAATATTTTCACAAGACAATGGCAGGAAAAGAAAAGTGTATAGTGTATTCGCTGATTATATTTACACAGGAATATTCCAGTAGCTGTGGATCATGTAAACTCCAGAATAAAATCTCAACCTGAATATAGATTTGAACTGGATGTAAATGTAGTCATTATTCTGTCTTCTTTTTCTTAGCCAAAAAGCCGTGCCTCCAGGGCCCGAGCAGAGGAGAAAGGGGTGTTAATGAGGACACCAACCCCGAAGCAGCAGGAAACCACACATCTCTCACTAATATGCAAGAGCTTCCCACCCCGTCAGCTCCTGTTACCACCCAAGCCTTTGATCCCCCGGCCCAGGACCTCCCGCTGTGCTTCGATCGGGCCCGGCTCGCGGTGGCAGTGGCAGGTTCGCGGGTGGCTCTCGCCGGGCAGCAGCAGGACACCGGCACACTGACACGAGTGCTGCTCTCCGGCCTGCCCAACCTCCACAGCCTCCCGCTAGCACAGGCAGCAGCAAAAGAAGGAACACGGTGGCCTTCCAATGCTGAGACAAAAACCGAGCATTTACTGGGACTCGGCTGCTACTCGTCGTCCTCTGACGAGGAAGTATAGCTCAGTGAAATTTCATCACGCTCATTTGATGATGAAACATGCGTAGTTTTTATATCATTTCTTTTGTCATTTTATTTTGTCGTCTGTTAAAAACATGGCGACATTTAACATTTGATATTCATAATGTCATTTAAACATTTCCAGATTTGGTGCTTGAAAGTGAAACTTGAAAGTAAAGCATTTTCAAATGAAACCTGAAAGCTGTAAATCACCTGTGTTTATATTTGTCTTAACCTAGTTTATTCCAGCTGTGAATGTGTTAAGCAGTGTTAGAGTCTCAAGAAGAGAAAGGAAATGGTTGAGGTGTGGTTAGAGTAGAATTCTGAATGGGAAGTTTGTGATTACTTAATGCCATTACTTAAACAGAAAGTATGAGGGGTTGTTTACTTTTTACAGAAGATTATCTAAGGAGTACATCTCCTTCGGTGTCTAGATGGTTTCAATTTCAACCGCAAGATTTTTGTACAGCTCGATTCCATAGGACATAACTACATAACCCCTTTTTTTAAGTTGCACGGCGGACATTTTATTCTCGTTCTTTACCAAATCGATCATGTTCTGCTGCTTTGAAGAATGCAGAAAACAAACACTGATCTGAAGAACTGAGAATGTAATGCTTAATCATTAAAGCACCATGAAGTCAACTCAAGAAGAAAAGTTGAACTTGAAAGTGCACAGAACCATTAAACAGCCTTTATGTGAGAGCATTTGCCATAGTTTTACAAACCCCAAAGTTTCAGATTGACATATGTTGAAGTCTGGCATGAGGTTTGATAATGCATGCACCGACCACAGCAGGCCTGATTAAAACGATTGCGAGACTATTAAACCCAGGGATGCTGAGTCAGAGAGATACAGAGAAAGATGTCTGCGTTCACCATAAAAATACGCCATTTTTCCTACAGTTTGGTAACAGAACTAGGGCTTTGCGCTGCGCTGCGCTGCGCTGCGCTGCGGCCCACGATTCGACCCCAAAACCCCTCATACATCAGCAACAAGAATTGCTTAGCAGTCATCACTTCTGGGAAACTGAGCAAGAGCAAACCGTTGTCACTAAGCAGCAGTGGTGATCTCTTACTCATTCAGTGTCATTGTGTGACAACTAGCACCTTTGGCTACATTTGCTTGCATAGTAGACAGGGTTTCCCATACCTGTGAGGTGAAGTAAGGAAACTGATGCAACTACCACTGACGTCAGTTATCAAATAAGCAAATATTTCCTCCATGGAATTTACGATAAACTATTTTTTAGCTGTCTTCTCGTGACATTAAAATGTCTTGGAAAAGGCTTTGCTTGCAGTATAAGTTTAGCATTTCCTGCAATGACTGGACATGACTTGCATATTGAATAATTTAAATGTGGTTTTTATACCATTATACCCTCATTTAATTCAGAAGATTTATTATATATAGTTGCTTTTACATTTAGCTTAATGTTAATAAATATGAATAAATCTAAACCATATAGCAATGAACATTAAAATAAAATTTACTGAACAGTGTCATTTTAGTAGTTTTCATCAAGGTTACACTATTTTGATGGTCCACTTTAGAAATTCTACTAAGTAATTTTGGAACTACATCTCAACTAACTCTCATTAGAGTGTTAGTAGAGTATTAGTAGACTGTTAGATGTTAGGGTTAGTAGAATAAGCTGACATGTAGTAGTTGCAAAGTTACTTATAGTCAGTAGAATGTCTGTTGGGGAGAAAATAAAGTATAAAATAAAGTGCTAGCAGATATTAAGCAGACAGTCTACTAATACTCCAATGACTGGTAGTTGACTTGTAGTTGCAAAGTTGCTTATGGTTAGTAGAATGTCTAAAGTGGACCATTGAAATAAAGTGTTACCTTCATATTTTAATATATTTGTCTGTTTCTATCATTGTAGTTAACGTCAATTATGAACACATTGCAGTGGTACATATAGGCTACATCACAATAACTGTTGTGGGAAAATAATGGAAAATCTTTCACTAAATTCCCTAGTAAACATCAAACCTTTCCGACATTTATGGTACATTTTTGAATTACTGGCTTTCGCATCATGTATGCTACATGATCACAAAATTCCATTTGAAGTTTTTTTTTTTGCGGCATCTTTACTCAAGTGTCTGATTGAATCAAAACTTGATCCACTTTTGCTTTTGCTCATGACGGTAAAGCACATTTCTGCTGATGCAGCTCCTCAAATGAAAACCGTCAATGACAAGTTACACATACAGGGACTTGGGAAGAGGGAACAATTTGGGGGGAAAAGAGCAAAAAAGTTAACATTCTTTATCATGAATAGCATGAGAAGTGGGTAACCTATATGAGAGTGAGGCCAAGCAACTTACGGAAAAGGCAGATTTTTCCAGGAAGGCATAGCGGCCGATGACTTGCAACAGGGTACGGTGCAGGGTGAGGGGTTAAGGTGAAGCCTTTTCCTGCCACGCTTGGTTTCAACCACACTGTTCACCTCACTGTCATAGCATCACCATTCTCATGCAGACCCCTGAGGATGTATGCTGCAAGATCGAAAGCGCTCGAACACAATCATACGCGTTAACTGGCTGTTTCATGTGGCAGCTCCTGTGAGAATGGGTTTACTGAAACTCATTTTATGCTGCATCACTGTTTACAAACACTCGAGCGAAACTCTAGATGCAGTTAAATGTTTTGCATAGATTGTTGAAACTAAATGGTTCAGGGTTTGGCACATTTTCAGTTCAATTCAACTTAATTACTAACATAGCCACTAATCGTGGTGTAAATGGTAATGGGGAAAATATTATATTTCAATGTTTTATTTGCGTTTGCTCGCAAACCATTTGCCTTCCCCCAAGAATCATTGTGTTCTCTCTAGTTTCGCGTTCCCCAGAGAAACTGGAAAGTTTGTGTTCACTTGCAAACTTTTTGCATTCACTCTCAAAAGCATTGCAACATAGTTTTTCCTATAGTTTTACCATATTTAGTGAACTCAAAACTTTTGCACATGAGTTTCTAAAGTAAACACAAAGTTTCTTAGAAGCAGTGTTGGGGAAAGTTACTTTTAAAAGTAATGTTACATTATATTTTGATGGTCCACTTTAAGTAACTTTGGAACTCCTTCTCAACTAACTCTCATTAGAATATTAGTAAACTGTTAGATGGTTAGCAGAATAAGTTGACATGTAGTTGCAAAGTTACTTGGTCAGTAGAATATCTGTCTGAATAAAGTGTTAGCAGATATTAAGCAGACAGTCTACTAATACTCTAATGACTGGTAGTTGACTTGAAGTTGCAAAGTTACTTTGTTGCTTCAAGCAACAAAGTTGCTTGAAGTTGACTTGAAGTCCAGCTCTTATGGTTAATGTCTAAAGTGGACCACTCCATCCATCCATCCATCCATCCATCCATCCATCTTCTTCCGCTTCTCTGGGGCCAGGTCGCGGGGGCAGCAGTCTAAGCAGAGATGCCCAGTCTTCCCTTTCCCTAGACACTTCCTCCAGCTCTTCCGGGGGAACACCGAGGCGTTCCCAGGCCAGCCGGGAGACAAAGATCCTCCAGCGTGTCCAGGTCTTCCCCGGGGTCTCCTCCCAGTGGGATGCGCCCGGAACACCTTCCCGGGAAGGCGTCCAGGAGGCATCCGGAACAGATGCCCGAGCCACCTCAGCTGACCCCTCTCGATGTGGAGGAGCAGCGGCTCTACTCTGAGCTCCTCCCTAGTGATCGAGTTTCTCACCCTATCTCTAAGAGATCGCCCAGCCACCCTGCGGAGAAAGCTCATTTCGGACGCCTGTATCCAGGATCTTGTCCTTTCGGTCATGAGCCACAGCTCATGACAATAGGTGAGAGTTGAAACGTAGATCGAGAGCTTCGCCTTGCAGCTCAGCTCCTTCTTCACCACGACAGACCGGTACATCGACCGCATTACTGCAGAAGCTGCACCGATCCGTCTGTCAATCTCCCGTTCCATCCTTCCCTCACTCTTGAACAAAACCCCAAGATACTTAAACTCCTCCACTTGAGGCAAGACTCTCCACCAACCTGAAGTGGGCAAGCCACCCTTTTCCGACTGAGGACCATGGCCTCGGATTTGGAGGTGCTGATTCTCATCCCAGCCGCTTCACACTCGGCTGCCGGCAAAGCGAACCAAGCTCCTGCTTCGGTCATACAGGGACCGGACAGCCCTTAGCAAAGGACCCCGGACCCCATACTCCCGGAGCACCCTCCACAGGCCGCCGCGAGGGACACAGTCGAATGCTTTCTCCAAATCCACAAAGCACATGTGGATTGGTTGGGCAAACTCCCATGAACCCTCCAGCACCCTGTAGAGGGTATAGAGATGGTCCTGTGTTCCACGGCCTGGACGAAAACCGCACTAAAGTGGACCACTGAAATAAAACATTACAACATTACGACAAAACATTACGAAACAATAAAAGAAAAACAAATTCAAAATATTTATTTCAAAGTGGACCACTGAAATAAATATTTTGAATTCGTTTTTTTATATATATTTTTCTGTTTCTATCATTGTAGTTAACATTAATTTTGAACACATCTCAACATAACTGTTGTGGCAAAAATGGGTAGAAAATGTTTCACCAAATTCAATAACAAAGTCCATTAGTAAACATCAAAACTTTCCGACATTTATGGTACATTTTTTGATTACTGGCTTTCGCATCGTGTACGACATGATCTCAAAATTCCATTTGATGTTTTTTTGAGGCATCTTCATTTAAACGTCTGATTAAATCAGAACTTGATCCACTTTTGCTTTCGCTCATGACGTTAATGCAAATTTCCGCTGATGCAGCAGCTGCAGCTCCTCAAATGCAAACAATGAGAAGGTACATATCCAGGGACTTAGTGGGAAAAGGGAACAATTTGGGGGGGAAATGAGCAGAAAAGGTACAACACTGTAGCAAGGTTTGTTTTATGGGAAGGAGGAGGTGGGAACCGGCGAACATTCAAACACTTTAATAATAAAACAAACAAACACAAAACGAAAGTAAAGGCGGCACACACACAATAAAACATAAACAAAACACAACGTAAAATCCAGGCCTGGTCCTCTCTCGTCCTTCACTGTCATCGCTTCTCCTTTTTTGCTCCCGCTCCTCCGTGAGACCGGTGCGTCGCGCAGGTGTCGCTCATCAGCAATCAATCCACCGGCTTCGCGCTGCTCTCTCACGGCCCTCGGCCTCGTCCTGCTCGCCAAAAAAAAACCTTGTAGGCCGGGAGTACCCTCGAGCCTCCAGGGCGAGTCATGGCGGCAGACGAGGCGAGAGAATGGGAGACAGAAGCACGAGGAGCAAGAGAGGGGAGAGAGGGAAAAAAATAATCTTGGTCCAGTTCCCGGAAACACTGCCGCTCGGTCCTCAACCAGCTGAGAGACTCTCACTCGCGGTGCCATGCGATGGACCAGCGTCCGTTTGGACATCCGGACGGTTCGACACTCCGATGGCTCCTCCAGTCGAGGCCAGCCGACAGGGGACTCGCTGTCGGCTGCCCTCGACTGGAGCGAGACAGCGAGTCCCCTGTTCCCTGCTCCGCCTCCATCATGGTGGACGGCAGCAGGCTACGGTGAACGGGAGCGACTCCTCCGCTCCCTCTCGGACGGCAGCCACCCCTCCTCGACCCCGGAGCACGGCAGCGAGCTTTCCGTCCCACCCGCTGTTCAATTTTTTTTTTTACATATGTACCCTTTGGGGTCCTTACTGCTTTTCACAATACATATTAAAAAAATGCCCATTTGTCACCAATTCTATTAAGGGTTTTACCATTTTTGATATCTAATAGAATTTTTAATATTTAGTCTAGCAGTGGGACAAATTAATTGTTAAATAAACAAACATTCCAGATATGCATAATAACAGCAGGATTAGCAAAGCGCCTGGATTATAGCACATAACACATCAGATGTAGCTCAGAAACTCAATGAGAATGAGGGATGGGTTTGACAGTGAAGACTTGCTGCTAAATGGGTTTCTATTCTCAGTCAACCTTTGTACATTACAGGATGGCAGACAGGATGCTAGTGGTCTTTAAAAAGATCTGTGGCCCTTCTGAAGAACTCTTTCTAGGTCACAGGCAATCCTTCGCCTCTTACGCAGATCACATGCCACACTGACCTACGGAAGAGCCTGAGACCTACATTAAAGCAAGTTTTGATTTGTTGCAGTGCACTTATGGATGGATAGATGGATGCATGAATGAATTCATGAAAAAAGACATTAAAAGTTGAATATTCAACGCTATCTCACGGTTTTGGCTTTTTCGAATGATCAAACCAAACTTTTACTCAGGAAAGGCATACAGTAGTTCACCCAAAAATGACAAATTCTTATATGGAACAAACCATTTATTTCACAAAGGTCTTTACCATTCAATGAATTATGGCTGGTTAGGCTCCAAAATGAAAAAAGCACCATAAAACTCTAAAAAATTATATTATTAACATAAGTTATGACAACATACTGTATGTTTTTACATTGCTTTAACTCAACAAAATAAGTTAAGCAATTTTGGTAACAATACGGGTGCACTAATATGCATTAATTCATACTTAACTAATGCACAGATAATCATGAGTTAATGTATGACTCATGAAGAACTAAACCATTAATTAATGATTACTGCATCAGCAACTAATAAAGAGTCTATATGATTAATAGATTAAGTAATAAATGAATTGCTGTTAATTAAACGTGTCATCATGTATTAATTCCTTAATAACCTATTTTATTAACTAATAGTGTGTTAATTACCACAGTTAGTCAACGCTATGCACTCTTACAGGACTATTAACTAATTGTAAAGTAATATGTCATTATGGTTATGGGTTTTGTCATCCCCACTAAAGGTCTGTGGGGCAGTTGCACATGCAGTGAGTGTAATGTCAGAGAGTGTTTGAAGGATGGGTAAGTTGGGCCGCACACAAAAATCAGCACACCAGAATCTGAAATACTGACGCTGTTACACCGTGTTTAAACTGGACGAGACCATTACAGCTGTCTACACTGGACATGACAGACCATTGCAAGTCCATTTGTCCTTCATAACAGAAGTAGCGCAAGAGCTCAAGTACGTCAGAAATAGAGTGAGGCATCAGTTTACTGTCGGGGTTTTGTTGTGTCGTGTAGCATTGTATCGCATCAGTGTTGTATCACTGATTATAATGGGTTCTAGTTTCTTTGTCCGGTCTAGACACAGTGTTATGAAATAGCAGAGCCCGGTCACATATTCTCAGTGTTTTTCCTTTAAATCCAAGAGCTCAAGCTTAACCTGACACACTCCTGTGCCATGAACTGTTGGATGTGGCGGTTCATCTGGAGCAGTGAATCCCGGTTGTAGAAGGCGGGAAATTGAAATCAATAGTGTGGATGTCAAAACCAAAATTACATATTACTTGACAATTAGTTATAATAGTCATGTGCCTCAACAAGTAAAGTCATAACATAATGATAGATTTGCAAATCATTAGCTAATGATTAATTAAAGCAGACAACTGGAAGTTGATGTGCATAGCTTTGACTAATTGTGGTAATTAACACAGTAATTTACACTATTAGTTAAAAAAATATGTTATTAAGGAATTAACACAATGACACATTGAATTAGCAATTCATGTATTACTTAATCTATTAATCATATAGACTCTTTATTAGTTGCTGATGCAGTAATAATTAATTAATGGTTTAGTTCTTCATGAGTCATACATTAACTCATGACTATCTGTGCATTAGTTAAACATGAATTAATGCATATTAGTGCACCCGTATTGTAAAGTGTTACCCAATTTTCAACTGTTTTCAACAAATTTAACTCGTTTTTAAAACTCAGTTTAATGTAGTTTAAGTTGAAATGACTTAAACATCCAAGTTGATTGTACTTAAAAATTTAAGGCAGCAACTTTTTTTTTTACATTGATAACTTAATTTGAGAACCCCTGTGACCAGATTGAGTCTGTGAGTTGAATTTGGATTCGTGAACAAATTATCTAATTTGTGGTCAAATCATGCAGGACTATTGTGCTTTTTTGTCATTTTTGACAATGAGCTAAAGTTTTGAACTGTTATTTAGTGGAAAAGACAAAAATGAACCTTTTGTGTTCCACAGAAAGAAGAAAAAATAAAACCTTTGAGTTTGGAAGGACATAAGGCTGGATGTGTATAGGCTACATAACAGAATTGTCATTGGTGAACTGTAAATCTTTAATTGTAAATCTTTCATTGTGCTCTGCAAAGGTTTTTAATAACTACGAGAGAAGTTATTGCCTGCAAGTACACAGAAGACTCGAGACGAATAGTTTCCTGTCCGTGATGTCACCATCATATCTTTTTCAGATATGCAAATTTGTTCACCACAAATTGCATGCGAACGCTGATACATTGACTAAAAATGTTATAATAGTGAATACATGAGTGTGCAGGAGTGTCCTATACCTAAGTGTGCATGACAGAATGAAGGAATGAATCAGAGGCGGAGAGTGCATTTGATAGATAGACCGCTTGTGTGTGTGAATGTGTGTTTGTGTGTGTGTGTGTGTGTGTGTAGGTGGGTGGGAAGTCTAAACCGCACTGCAGGACCTTTTTAAAAACTGATGTTCAGCAACAACCTTTTCAAGACATACTCTCTTGTCGCTCACACCTTCACACACTCTTCTGAGCTCAGCAAACATGAGCAATAACTTCGGTCCCCCATCCCAACCAGTGTTCATGGTGGATTCTGGCAGAGGTGACCCTAAACAACATCAGTACTACCACCAGCGGATGCCCAGGCGCACAGAGCCACCCATGGTTCCCTGCTGGACGTTCCCCCCTGCCCGAGCAGAGATGAAGAGAAAGAGCTGGGGAGGGATGAATGCTGGGATGGCCTGGGTACTGACTTTGATTCTCCTGCTGGTTTTTGCAGCCCTGGGACTGGGAGCCTATCAGATCCTGAGGTTACAGACTGAAGTGGAGCGCCTGACACAGGTAAAAACTACTGGGCAGTGCATCTTATTATCTAATATATATATATATATATATATATATATATATATATATATATATATTTGTGCGTCTGTTTATATAAATACCTTTTATATAAATACAGTGGCCTAAAATGTAGACTGATGCATCACAATGAATGAATGTTTTTACATTAAATGTCCTATAATGATTCATGAAATTTAATTTAATTTCAAGAAATATAGCACAAGCTCAACATTTCACAAAAAATTGCAACCTTGTAAAACAATAGATGCACAGTTCAACATAGAAAAATCGTATCTTTGGTTACTTTCTGGTTACCAGATGTTAGTGGATCATGTTCATAGTTAATTTTATAAATTACACCTGGTTTCCAGGACACCTGGAAATTAGTTCTGCGAATTTTGCAATATTAATTTAACACGATTTTTAAAGTGTCCAAATACTTCACTGTATACTAGCTCACATATATACTGAAACACCCAATTTTTGAGATAAAGATTTCAAACCTAAATTATTGACACACCTCGAAAGCAGCCAAGTGCTCCATTATGTGTTTGTTATGTCATTTGAATCTCTTTGATGTGCATGGGAGTATCATTTTTCAGTTTCCTTTCCATGATCACGCGACTGAGTAGGACAGAATTACAAGAGAGAGAAAAAACTTGTGGTCACTGGTCAGAGGCTACAGGATATCCTCTACTTCAACTAGCAGTCTAACACCATCTTCTCTTTCTCATAACTAAGAGTCGATTAACTTTAGCCATATGTATTTGAGCCAAATGACTTTTGAATGCACAATAATGCAAATCTGTGACACTACTGAGCAGTTTGTGACCCATTTTTTTTCAATGGCAGGAAAGGCCCACACAAATACAGAGCGTCGCTCCACAGAGACAAGTTGGTGAGTTGCATGACCAAGTTGGCATTTATCAGAACTTCATCCTGTGCTAAATCTTATCTGGTGAACACGATGACCTAATGACATTCGTTATTGTTCAACAGGCCTGAATCCTGCTGAGCTCAACAAGAACAAACAAAAAACTGCTGCACACTTAATAGGTACGATTTGGATTCCGAGATGCATTTGTCCTCATAGTAAACCTCTCTTTACACTTTATTTCGATAGTCCTCTTTATGCATTCTACTAACTTTGCAACTACATATCAACTAACTCTCATTAATTTGTAACTACATGTTAACTAACTCTCACTAGAGTATTAGAAGAATGTTAGGTTAGGGTTTGTGTTATTAGAATAAGTTGACGTAGTTGCAAAGCTACTTAGTCAGTAGAATGTCTTTTTGGAGACCATCAAAATAAAGTTAGCAGAAACAGTCTACTCAATACTCTAATGACTGCTAGTTGACATTTAGTTTCAAAGTTACTAATAGTTAGTAGAATGTCTAAAGTGGACTATCAAAATAAAGTGTTACCCATTTTATTTTTATAAAAAACAATATGTCACCTGCAACTTTTTTCTAAAACAGGCTGTGCAGACCAGAGCGCATCATCTGGCGCTCTGAAGTGGGAAGAGAAACGCGGCGAGGCCTTCACACATGGCATCAAGTACAGCAACGGTGGCCTTCAGGTTAACGAGAGCGGTTTGTACTTTGTTTACTCCCGAGTGGAGTTTCTTTCACGCACGTGCAAGGCCTCAGACCTCCATGCTCACAAAATGAGTCGGCAGAGAAACGGCCATAACCTCATAATCATGGAAGATCACACAGAGGGCTTCTGTACGCCGGGGAGAAACCAGCCATGGATGACGGGAAGCCATCTAGGCTCACTTCAGCAACTCAAGGAGTCCGACTGGCTGTTTGTCAATGTCTCACACCCCCATCTGCTCAGCAAAAATTTCCACAACAATTATTTTGGCCTCTTCAAGATCCAATGATCATAGAGGACATCTAAGTGGCGCTTAGGAAGGGCATGGTTGTGAGTTCAGATGAAGAGGTCAGCGGTCTTTGGACTATAATCAACCCTGAGACCCTTACCGCAATCTGTCCGCTTGCTATTGTCAAATCATAATTGATTTTGAATGTATCAGTTACCTGTGGCCATTACGTTTGGAAAGTTGTGCAGAAGAGTTTCAGATTGAATGAACACTAATATGCTTCTGTATCAGGAGAAGGTAGATTAAATAAAAATATTTATTGTCCTTAAACTCTGATTGTTTATTAATGTGATCAATGGTCATATTGACTGAGTAATAGATCAATAATGCCTATAATAAAACCTTTAATTGTGTAAAAAAAATTTTTTTGATTTTCTGTTAAAAACTGTTGATTTCACACTGATTGTGAACCGAGAGAAGATGTCTCACACATTTTTTGAGAAAAATAATATTGTGTGGTAGGGTGTTTCCATTCCCACTAATATTTCCATGTTATAGTGGGTTGGTTGTCATAGTAAATTATGCTGATTTTTGGTTGAAAGTTTCCAGAGCTATATTTATTTTAAAAATCTAAATAATGTTCCTTCATTTTTATTTATTTATTGGGTATTTCATAAACATATGGGCAACTTAACAGTGCTAGTTTTTTATATACTAAATTAGGAACAGAGAATTATATTGCATAGATGAACATAACTCAAATGAGTTTCTAGTCAGCTGTTTTTGAATATCCTCAATGGACCACAAGGCAACTTTTGCAGGGTTGCGGTTTTATTCCTCGTCATTTCTGCAAAGACCCTCTGGTTTGCTTCATTGCAGTGTTGCTGAGCCACACATACAGATTAAGGGTTTGTTTTGTGCAAGTATAACTGTGGCAGTACACTCTGTGCTTCTTCATTTCTGATGCTTCCTTCCTGTGTTTAGGTATGGTGTTTACAGGGGTCAAAAAGCTTTGATGAGAAATGAAAATGAAAACCTGCTTTTGTCACTCATTCATTCAATTACTCACGAGATAAAGTGTACATTTCTCACTGTTGCTCTTAGTATGTGCCAATGCAACTGTGTGTTATGCAGTACTATTTGTGTTTTTGTCTTGTAAATCTATTACACCTCAATATTCCACTTACTACGAGGGTGAGTGGAAACAAGGCCTACTCTGTCACCTCCTCCAACTGTTTTGTACAGGGATCACACAGACACACACCCACAAAATGCAAATACCACAGGAAGTGACCACTGGATAATCATCACCTACGGTTCATCCACTCTCTCTCAAACTCTCCTTCAAACTAAGTCTAAGAGACAATATTAGAACATAAATGGATAATACTGTAAAAAATTATTCTGTAAAAAAATGGATAAAGTACTGGCAGAAAATTACCAGGACATATATATATATATATATATATATATATGTCCTGGTAATTTTCTGCCAGTACATTATCCATTTTTTTATAATGTACTGATGGCAAATAAAACGTATACTGTAGCCTACTGTCTTTCTGTGTGACCTTGATAACAAAACTGAAAACACCTAAGTAATTACATGAATAAAGTCCTTGGGTGTGCAAGAACAACTGAAGGTGGTACATAATTTAGCTCAAGTTTCCAAATGAATCACTAGGGCTCACCACCCAGCATCACATCATCATAAACAGCAAAAATGCACTCTAGTCTGTAGATTTCACTAATGGCCTTGTGGAAGGGCCCTTTGTGAAGGAGGTCAGTTTCTTAGTTTAATTTGAAAGAAAAAAAAACTTTTCCAAAGTGACCAAAGGTGCAAAATAGATGACAGCCTACTGAAGCCATTTATTTACCACATCAGACTTAAAACATGCACCTTTTCTTGGAGAGTTCCTAAAGATTGTATAAGTTCTGACCTCAAAAAAGGGCTGATTTGGCCCAGTAATATTACAGATGGCCTTTAGAAGCTTCTGCTCATGCCATTATCAAAGGCGTTGCAGAAAAGGGGGTCCCTTTGCTCAGACACAAATGCATGCTAAATTCTCTTTGGGACTGAACAATCCAAAGAGGCTGTGTTGGTTAAACAAGGTTGTTTAAGTATTTACAATTTCTTGTTAATGTGTACTTAAAGGAGACCTGGACACAGGTGTATAGACAAAAAAATAATTAAACAAGACCAAAAATAGCTTTTGTCAATTAATGTGGGCTGAGATTAGTAATCTACTTTAAACACTTGTCAAGTTTTTGGAAATGCATTTCTGTTTTTCATTAAATTTGTTTTTGAAAACATGTTACCATTTATTTATTTAAACTCCAAAAATGTCAGGTGGAGCAACCATCTAGTCTACCTTAAGTGCTCACATCTTAATCATTATATATATATATATATATATATATATATAGATTATATAGTTGTATGTAACAATTTTTTTACAGTCCTTTTCTGAATAATTGGCACCCTTGGTAAATATTAGCAATGAAGCAAAAAAATGAAACAAATAATAACAAGAAAAAAATAAGTAAAACAACAACTAATATCTAACCTTTCATGAAAGTAAAACAATTGAAAATGGTTGGAAAATCTCATCACAAAATAAATGTTTTCTCGGGTGGGGCTCAATGGAGCGGACACTGGTTTGAGCTCTGGGGCTGGAGTGGACTCTGGGTTGAGCTCTGGGGCTGGAGTGGACTCTGGGTTGCGCTCTGGGGCTGGAGTGGACTCTGGGTTGCGCTCTGGGGCTGGAGCGGACTCTGGGTTGAGCTCCGGGGCTGGAGCGGAGTCTGAGTTGAGATCTGGGGCTGGAGTGGACTCTGGACTGAGCTCTGGGGCTGGAGTGGACTCTTGGTTGAGCTCTGAGCCTGAAGCGGAGTCTGAGATGAGCTCTGGGGCTGCAATTGAGCGGTCTCTGGGTTGAGCTCTGGAGCTGGAGCGGACTCTGGTTTGAGCTCTGGGGCTGGAGCGGACTCTGGGTTGAGTTTTGGGGCTGAATTTTACTATGGGCTGAGCTCTAGGGCCGGAGTGGACTCTGGGTTGAGCTCTGGGGCTGGAGCGGACTCTGGGTTGAGTTTTGGGGCTGGATTTTACTATGGGCTGAGCTCTAGGGCCGGAGCGGACTCTGGGTTGAGCTCCGGGGCTGGAGTGGACTCTGGGTTGAGCTCCGGCGCTGGAGCGGAGTCTGAGTTGAGATCTGGGGCTGGAGTGGGCTCTGGACTGAGCTCTGGGGCTGGAGTGGACTCTGGACTGAGCTCTGGGGCTGGAGTGGACACTTGGTTGAGCTCTGAGCCTGGAGCGGAGTCTGAGTTGAGCACTGGGGCTGCAATTGAGCAGAGTCTGGTTTGAGCTCTGGGGTTGGACCTGACTCTGGGTTGAGTTTTGGGGCTGGATTTTACTATAGGCTGAGCTCTAAGGCCGGAGTGGACTCTGGGTTGAGCTCTGGGGCTGGAGCGGACTCTGGGTTGAGTTTTGGGGCTGGATTTTACTATGGGCTGAGCTCTAGGGCCGGAGCGGACTCTGGGTTGAGCTCCAGGGCTGGAGTGGACTCTGGTTTGAGCTCTGGGGCTGGAGGTAACACTGGATTGAGCTCTGGGGCTGGAGCGGACACTGGGTTGAGCTCTGGGGCTGGAGCGGACTCTGGGCTGAGCTCTGGGGCTGGAGCGGACTCTGGGTTGAGCTCTGGGGCTGCAATTGAGCGATCTCTGGTTTGAGCTCTGGAGGTGGAGCGGACTCTGGTTTGAGCTCTGGGGTTGGAGCAGACTCTGGGTTGAGTTTTGGGGCTGGATTTTACTATGGGCTGAGCTCTAGGGCCGGAGCAGACTCTGGGTTGAGCTACCGGGGCTGGAGTGGACTCTGGTTTGAGCTCTTGGGCTGGAGGTAACACTGGATTGAGCTCTGAGGCTGGAGCGGACACTGGGTTGAGCTCTGGGGCTGGAGCGGACTCTGGGTTGAGCTCTGGGGCTGGAGCAGACTCTGGGTTGAGCTTTGGGGCTGAAGCAGACTCTGGGTTGAGCTCTGGGGCTGAAGCAGACTCTGGGTTGAGCTCTGGGACTGAAGCGGACTCTGGGTTGTGCTCTGGGGTGGAGTGGACTCTGGGTTGAGCTTTGGGGCTGGAGCGGACACTGGGTTGAGCTCTGAGGCTGGAGCGGACACTGGGTTGAGCTCTGGGGCTGGAGCGGACACTGGGTTGAGCTCTGAGGCTGGAGCGGACACTGGGTTGAGCTCTGAGGCTGGAGCGGACACTGGGTTGTGCTCTGAGGCTGGAGCGGACACTGGGTTGAGCTCTGGGGCTTGAGTGGACTCTGGGTTGAGTTCTGTGGCTGGAGTGGACTCTGGGTTGTGCTCTGGGGCTTGAGTGGACTCTGGGTTGAGCTCTGGGGCTGGAGTGGACTCTGGGTTGAGCTCTGGGGCTTGAGTGGACTCTGGGTTGAGCTCTGGGGCTGGAGTGGACTCTGGGTTGTGCTCTGAGGCTGGAGCGGACACTGGGTTGAGCTCTGGGGCTTGAGTGGACTCTGGGTTGAGCTCTGGGGCTGGAGTGGACTCTGGGTTGTGCTCTGAGGCTAGAGCGGACACTGGGTTGAGCTCTGGGGCTTTTGAGTGGACTCTGGGTTGAGTTCTGTGGCTGGAGTGGACTCTGGGTTGTGCTCTGGGGCTTGAGTGGACTCTGGGTTGAGCTCTGGGGCTGTAGTGGACTCTGGGTTGAGCTCTGGGGCTTGAGTGGACTCTGGGTTGAGCTCTGGGGCTGGATTGGACTCTGGGTTGTGCTCTGAGGCTGGAGCGGACACTGGGTTGAGCTCTGGGGCTTGAGTTGACTCTGGGTTGAGCTCTGGGGCTGGAGTGGACTCTGGGTTGAGTTCTGGGGCTGGAGGGAACACTGGATTGAGCTCTGGGCCTGGAGTGGACTCTGGGTTGAGCTCTGGGGCTGGAGTGGACTATGGGCTGAGCTCTAGGGCAGAACTTTTCTGAAGGCCTCAATCACACAAAACCCCATGTCTTACACTACTAATATAATACTTACACATCATGTGTCTGTGTCTCTGAAAGTGGTGAACAATGTTATGGCTTTCATGCATGTTTAACCTCACAACCTCATGGGAACACCTATTCACCACATCATCACCACACAGAGGAAAATGCTTTCATTTAACCAGTAAAATCCCTGGGAGTAGATTAACAGGAATTTGTTTATAAAGACTGACTGAATATTAGAATGACTATATAAAATGCTTATACTTAGATATATGCAAATTAGACACCTATGCAGGGATTAAAGTGCCCATATTATGCTACTTTAAAGTTTCCTAATGTTGTTTTTAGAGTCTTCTACAACAGGTTTACATGCATCAAAGGTAAAAAAAACTGTTTAATTTCCTCATAATAAACATTTGCACATCACCAC